CAAACAACTTCGCAGAGAAGATGGAGTTTGCCTTGCGTCTTGTTCCGGATGAGCTGACAAAGATCGACAAGTACGCTAAGGGACTCCCATGGGAATATGCAGTGCCAGTACGTCAGTCACATACTCTGGAAGCAGCTATCTGGGCTGCCAAATCTGTGGAGGATATGATTAAAGGAAGGGCTGCCAGCAAGGTTGAAGTTAGCGAGAAGAGAAAATTTGAGGGGTCTGCTAAACCCAACAATAAGAAGAGTAAGTTCAGTTCCAAGAAGTTTGGAGGAGTAGGGAACGAAGCAAAATGGTGCGAGAAGTGCAAGAAGAAGCACTCCGGAAAATGTAGCGAGGAAGAAACCTGCTACAAGTGTGGGAAAACGGGGCACTATGCCAATAAGTGCACCATCAACAAGAGGGTGTGCTACGAGTGCCGTGAAGAATGGCATATTGCTAAGGATTGCCCGAAGAAGAAAGACGCAGCAAGGCCCAACATTCCACCGAAGCCGAAGGCGAGAGCCTTCCAGATGACGCTCGAGGCTGCAAAGGAGGCAGCAGACGTCGCTTCAGGTACCTTTCTTGTAAATGGATTGCCTGCCAATATACTATTTGATTCCAGAGCCAACTATTCCTTTGTGTCGCACAAATTTAGTGGGAAATTAGCATTGCCTGTAGAAAAACTTGATAATGCCCTAATTGTGAAGTTGCCAGTGGCAAGTTCGTACCTGTTAGTAACCGTATTAGGAACATCGTCATCGACCTAAACGGAAACGAATTCCACGAAGAGCTATTACCCATAGAGTTAAACGGTTTCAATATCGTTTTGGGTATGGATTGGCTTAGCACCAACGATGTTGAGATTCAATGCCGAAAGAAGATAGTAAGGGTAAACCCACCCGGAAAGGAGTCATTTATGGTGTACGGGGACAAACGCAGAGTGAATTCTGGAATCATCTCCCTGATGAACGCCAGAAAATGTTTATCCAAAGGATGTGCATCATATTTGGCATTTGTGATCGATGCTAAGAAGGAAAAGAAGGAGGTGCAGAATATACCGGGCGTATGTGATTATCCAGAAGTCTTTCCCGAAGATCTTCCTGGATTACCACCTGATAGACAAGTGGAGTTTCGTATAGACTTGTTACCAGGAACGACACCGATAGTAAAGGCACCATACCGATTAGCACCAACGGAGATGAAGGAGCTTATGACGCAACTACAGGAGTTGTTGGACAACGGTTTCATTCGACCTAGTTCATCACCCTGGGGAGCTCCGGTGCTATTCGTAAAGAAGAAAGACGGAAGCATGAGGATGTGCATAGACTACAGAGAGCTGAACAAGGCAACGGTAAAGAACAAGTACCCATTGCTGAGGATTGATGACCTATTCGATCAGCTGCAAGGTTCAAGCTATTTCTCAAAGATCGATCTTAGGTCAGGATATCATCAGCTGAAGGTGAGAGATCAGGATATCGAGAAGACTGCATTCAGAACAAGATATGGACACTATGAGTTCTTGGTTATGTCGTTTGGACTAACCAATGCTCCAGCATCGTTCATGGATTTGATGAACAGGGTTTGTAAACCATTCCTCGACAAATCCGTGATAGTGTTCATAGATGACATTCTCATTTACTAGAGAAGCCAGGAGGAGCATGGCCAGCATCTACGAGAAGTGTTGGAAGTCTTCAAAAAGGAGAAGCTTTACGCTAAGTTCTCCAAATGTGATTTTTGGATCCGAGAAGTCCAATTCTTGGGTCATGTGGTTAACCAGGAGGGAATAATGGTTGACCCAGCAAAAATCGAAGTTGTGATGAAGTGGGAACGTCCGAAGAGTCCCACAGAGATTCGAAGCTTTCTAGGATTAGCCGGATATTACCGACGATTTATCCAAGGCTTTTCTTCGATAGCTGCTCCATTGACAGCGTTGACCCACAAAGGAGCTACATATATGTGGAATGAGAAACACGAAGAGGCATTCGAGAAGCTAAAGAAGAAGTTATGCGAAGCACCGATTCTTTATCTACCCGATGGAGCTGAAGATTTCGCGGTGTATAGCGATGCGTCGGGAGTCGGGTTGGGCTGTGTTCTGACCCAAAGAGAAAAAGTGATAGCATATGCCTCTCGACAATTGAAAGAGCACGAAAAGAACTACCCCACTCATGATCTGGAGTTGGCAGCGGTAGTATTCGCCTTAAAGATATGGAGGCATTACCTCAATGGCACGAAGTGCAAGCTTTTCACTGATCATAAGAGTCTCCAGTATCTCTTTAATCAGAAAGAATTGAACATGAGGCAACGACGCTGGCTAGAATTACTCAAGGACTACGACTGTGAGATACTTTACCACCCCGGTAAAGCAAATGTTGTTGCTGATGCTCTCAGTCGGAAAGTCAATCTTGAAAGGAAAAGGCCAAGAGCATTGAGAATTGAAGTTGTCTCGACAATTGTGGAAAGTATCAAGAAAGCTCAAGAAGAAGCTTCAGAAAAGAATGACCGAAAGGAAGAACGTTTGGGAAAGACGTTGGTATTCGGTACAAACCGTCAAGGACTGAAGGTCTTCCAAGATCGGATTTGGGTACCTAAGACGGGAGGAATGAGAGATCTTCTGATGGAAGAAGCTCACAAGACCATGTACTCGATTCATCCCGGTAGCACTAAAATGTATAGGGACCTAAAACCCTACTACTGGTGGCCGACGATGAAGCTCGATGTTGTGTAGTATGTGGCCGAGTGTGTAACATGTGCGAGAGTTAAGGCACAACATCAGAAACCATACGGGAGTTTAGAACCTTTACCTGTACCCATGGGTAAATGGGAAGACATCACCATGGATTTTGTGACTAAACTTCCCAGGACGAAGAACAGACACGACATGATTTGGGTGGTCGTGGATCGTTTCACTAAGAGTGCACACTTCATAGCAGCCAATGAGAGGTGGTCTATGGATAAGCTCGCAAATGCTTACGTGAAGGAGATAATAAGACTTCACGATGTTCCTCTAACGATTGTATCTGATCATGATAGTCGTTTCACGTCGAAGTTTTGGAAGAGTCTACAAGAGGAACTGGGTACAAAGTTGTGTCTGAGTACAGCTTACCATCCGCAGACAGATGGTCAGAGCGAAAGAACGATTCAAACCCTTGAAGATATGCTGAGAGCATGTACCCTTGAGTTCCAAGGTAACTGGGATGAGCACTTACCTTTGGTAGAATTTTCCTACAACAACAGTTATAGATGTTATTGATGATCCAGTCATCTAGCGGAGTATAGATGACGACCATAGACTATTCTAGACAGTCCAGTGGAACGCTAGCAGGCTCGCAACCTGTAGGTGTTTATTTGAACTGTGTGTTTACCAGCAGTACTCCATCCCCCACATGGTTGCCTTATTTGACATGAATTGCTAAGGAATCACCGGAGCATGTGTTGTCACCCCGATGAAAGTCCTTAGACTAGGTCCCTTGAGTTAGATGTTTTAGGGACGTAAAGTGAGGATAACGGGAACGGGTAATCGGGTTTGATTGGTTTGATAAAGTTAATAAACTTATTTATTGTGGGTTGAAAACCCTATGTGCTCACCAGGCTCCCAAGCCTGACCCACTCAGTTTCTTGTATTACAGGTAGTGGCGCATGAGCATAGATGTTTGGATGAGAGATAAGGGATTATAGGCCTGTAAATACGAAATAATGTAGTAAGGCTTATGTTGTACTGTTTATGCTTTTGATCTGTATCGAACATGACATCCCGAGTCTTTTAATGAAATACATTTCTTTGAAAATGCTTTTGATAAATCTTTATCATATTTTGTTTTGAGACAAATTCCACAACACTTTTATTTGAAATGTTACTCTGATTTTCAAACAAGCATAAACAAAATCGGTCTTTTCTGACCGTGAAAATGGGGATGTCACATTTGTAGTGGATCTGTTGGATTTGGAAAGTAATCATTCTACAAAGTAAAAATATACAAGCAAACATTTATGATTTCAAAGCTAAAAGCATCACCATCTCCTCCACCTCCACCCTTAAATAATGTCATTCTTATTATTTTTTTCATTTAAATGCATTTATATGTATTAGTAACAATATTAATAATAACAAGTTCAAAAAATAGTTTTTTTATTTATATTTTTAATAATAATAATAATAATAATAATAAGGGTTTTATTTGTAGAAAAGTCTTAATATTTTTGTTTACAGAAAAGTCCTAATATTTTTTGTTTACAGAAAAGTCTCAATATTTTGGGTTAGTTTACGAAATAGTCCAAATTAATTTGGTACCGGTTTCAACCGGTCAAAAAGGGTCAAACTGTAAATTTTTGCCGGTTTTCAGGATTTTTTCGTTCAAAAAAAAAATCTTGGGACTAAAGTGTAACTTTTCCGTAAATATTAGGACTTTTCTAAATATTTCCCAAATTATAAAGATGGAAATGTTACTGTTGAAATGCGTCATGTGCTTTAATATATATATATATATATATATATATATATATATATATATATATATATATATATATATATATATATATATAATTGTGTATAAAAAACAAATATATATATACACCATATCAAGTGATCAACCCATCATATTTTGTCATAAAAATTAAGGTTAATTCTTAACTCTCAATCTTTTTCATCGTAAATCGTAAATCATTACCTTACTTTTGGTTCTTAACTAATATTTTTACCATTTTCAAATAAGTTTTTTGTCTCAAACTCTCAATTTGAAACGCGACAGGTTCTAAAGCAAACGTATACTTTTGGAACATAAAGAAATATGATTTTATTAGGTACGTGTATAATTTAGATGGTAAAATAAAATGTCAACCGATCGCTGAACTAATTATGCCAAACTCACCTTTACATCAAACACATTAGATAAAACAAACAATAGACTATCAAAATCCGACTTCATCTTTTGAAATTTAATTAATAAGAATGAAATAAATTTTATTATTTTTAAAAAATATACTATAAGGTTGTATCTTAAGATTCAACCGTTGAAAATCTAATAAATATCGAGGATTTCGAGGATAGATCGATTACAAAGGGGACAACAACCTCGACTTAACATCAACTCCCTCGAACACACCCTACAAAACGTATGCCCGCATGGAATAAACGCTGCACCCTTTTTCCTTCCCATACACACGCAGCACACCTGATCCCTGCTCATATCTTCCTTCTTATGATCCTCACCGTCCGTTTCCTCCAACAGTCTCATCAACGATATCCGCAACGGCGAACCAGGATCCGCAGTCGACGTACGTGGCAACGTCTCATTGGCTGCTTCATTGTTCGGACTCAAAGGCTCGGCGGTGGCCCGGAACTGCCGTTCCGCGGCCAATGCCGCCGCGAGATTCATTCGAGGCAACGGAGAGATGCAATCGGGATCGGAATTGGTGTCCGGCGGGGTTAGATTCACGTCTATGACATCTATTTGATGGATCGAGTCAACGACGTCGTCATCGTCGTCGGCTCGGGTGCTCATGGTGGAAGGTCCGATTCCGATGCCCCAAGCGGATCCACAACAGACCATACTCTTTAATCCTAATCGTTCTTGGAGACTCTTCCGTCGTCGGAACCTATCGCCGCCGTCCATGGTTCTCTCCCTTAGGAGGTCGACGATCGTTCTCGTGCTCCTTTCTGTCTCTTCACTTTCCTGCAAAAACAGAGCCATTAGTTCACCGAGTCGACTCATTTTTTTGACTGACAACCAAACAAAATCACTCTCTGATTGATCTGAATCGCTCTATATCTCCATGAATGATGAATCCAGAGAAAGCGCAATTGGGTTCATGAAAAATGGTGAAAGTGGCTTTAAAGAACAAAGAACACGCAATCTGATGTAAATATAAATAGAAAAAAACCCAAAGGAACAGGAAGAGAGAGAAGGGATTTACGTAAATCACGTGAAATTATGAAAGATTGGAAAGGAAAATTGATAAGGGCGCGCACAGCACCTCCATCGTCACCTTTTTGTGAGGAAAGTGATAAATGCAGAGAGATGGGTTTTGGTGGGACAAAAGAGAGATAGAGAGAGAAAGATAAATTTGGGGAAGAATGAAATTGAATTGAAGTCAAAAAGAGAGATGGATTGGGGTACGTCGTACGAGACTACGAGCTCATCGACTGCTCCGTCGATTTGGTTTTAAGTGGAGTAAATTACAGAAACAAACCCTAAACTATGTGTTATTCGTCATTTTCGTATAAGTTTTACAAATAAGTACTAAGTTATGAGTTAATGGCTAATTGTTTGTAGAGCTAATTTATTATGTTATGTCTAAGAAAAAATTATTTTTATAAATCAATTTTAATTTTTAATGAATAAGCTGTTGATTTTTTTTTTTGGCAATAATTAAATATTTCTTACCGTATATTTGAATGTTATAACTTTTATATTTTAATTTATCGCTTTTAGTTTATTATTTAACAAACAATGTAGTTATACAAATGAAAATACATAAAATTTTGTTTATAGTATTTGTTTAATAAACTAGATGTTAATAAAAAATAAAAATATAAAACATAAGTAAGATGGATAAAAATATTTCCATTAATGATGCTCATGGTATTTCATTTATTTCCAATTAATTTTAAGATATTTAGCTAATAAATTTTGTGTTTGATTGTTGAAAAGTAGGGTATATATGAGTTGGTTGGGGTTGGTTATGGATCAAACCGAACTAATCAGTTAATCGAAGTTTTTAACTATACTATATAAAAAGTATATTATATAGATATATTAACACCTAACACACTTATGAGCAATACATTTTCTGCACTTGAGACTTTCACCACCATAATTTTAGAATTTGTCAACTTTTGTCCCTCTCACGTTTTCTCTGTTGATAAGACACACGCATCTTTAAACCCACGGCTACGTTAACATCAACACCTGCGTTGGCTTAGTTTCTAGATTCATCTTTCCCTGTTGCTTTTTCTTTTGTCGCTCCAATAATTCACCGTCTTCACTTCCCATCTGCTTTCGTTACTTCTCATTCGCTTTCGATTATCTCTATTTCTCTCTTCATCCGCAAACTGTGCAATGTTTTTCTCAAAGATATGACAAGCATTAGAAGCAATATGGCGGTTCCACGAGGAAGACAATGGCAACACACGATCGGAGACACAACTGCTGTTACAATTTTCAAAGACAACAATAAGGTAATGTTTTTTTTTATCTCATATTCGTTCCTTCTTGATTTCTCGCTAACGCATCTCAAAAGGCTCAACTAAAATCGTTTAGGGATCGTTCTCTGCTTACATATTTTCGTTCAGCTGATGTCTCTATTTTAATTTGGCATTCCAAGTGTTTCATGAAAGTGCTAACTGAATTATGTCTTTGTTGTGACTGTTCCATGGTGCTATTTTAGGAGCCTCTACTACTAGCATCAGGACTGAAACTTCATGGGTTCTTGAACTTTGTGGTGTCCATGTAGTTATGGGTGTTAGGAATACATCAGTCGGAAGAGAAGTCAAAGAAGCAATCCCAAAACATATCCCAACTGCCAAAGTCGATCCCATGGATGTCAATCTGAGTTCCATGGCATCCGTAAATAATTTTGTATCTGTTTGGATATCTCTAGCTCTTACTCCACTGCTTTTTTTGTGTGGTTGTGAGTTTTTAGTGTTGTAAAATCTCAATTAGGTCCCGTTTAATCTCTGATTAGTCCCTAGACACTACCCGACCGACTAGAGGGCGCCTAGCGATTCATCCCTGCCTATACAGTGAGTGAAGCAATAGAAAAAGATGAAATTCTAACACTTCGAAGAAATTTTATCTCAATAAAAAATGTTTGAGGAATGAATAATGTTATATTAATCATATTAACCAATTATGTTATGATATTAGTGATATTTACGAACTTTATTATGATATTAGTCATATTTAATATTTTAAAATTTAATGAATTAGCAATTTATGGTCCTCGATTAATCTCCTAATTAATCTCCGCCTAGTCGATTAATCTTTTAACCCCAATCCATCGACTAGCTTTTTCATATGCGTTTCATCTGGTTTGGGTTAATTGATTTTCAAAATTTAGGGTTCATCATCATTTTAATCAACCGGTGATGGATTGGGGAGGAATTTGTAGTGAAAAGCCAATTGTTTCCCTTTTTCCTTATGAACTTCAAGGTATTATTGTATTTGGGTTCGATCTTTGTGGACCCAAATTTTCCGGTGAAGAATCTGTTGTTTTGTTTGAAAGCGCTCCCTCCACCGGGTAAAAGCCACTTCACTAGGCATCGATTGTCTATCCCTATAAAATATGATGGTTTGGGCAAAGTCCGATTGAATGGGAAGGGGAATTTTCATGAATGACTAATTTGAAGAACACATACGATAGAGGTAATGATTTTTTGTATTTTAAATTTTTGTGTTTTACGTTCTCTAGTTCGTATTCCTATCACCTTTCTTTCTGTTTTTCTATATTTCTCCTCTTTGTTTCTTTGATTGCCTAGATTTCGAATTTTCGAATCGTTTTGTTGGTTGAATTGAAGGTTTTTGTTTGTTCGATTAGAGAATCAAGTTTGAAAAATTCTAGTCCGTTTGCAGATCATGAGGTTTAAAAGCTCTCTCTCTCTCGCATATACATACACATACAATCTTTTTATTGAATTCTCTGTCTTTCCTATCTATTTAAATATATGTACGTATGTATGATAAATTACTTGTGTATATAATGATGGATTGATGAAACATTTTGATAACTTCCCTCACTTGTCAGAGTTGATTAATGGTTTGGCTTCAAACATCATTATTGTTTCAACAAACCTAGGTGTTGTGAGGAAGATAATGGAACAACCTACTTTCATGCATGTTTAAGAGGCTTCTACATTTCGTGGTAACACTTTTGACCCTAACTTATTAACATGTTATAGATACTACAAATCAGTTTTGTTTGTTTATAACCATATATATATATATATATATATATATATATATATATATATATATATATATATATATATATATATATATATTTAGAGAGAGAGAGAGAGAGATAGGTTCAGGTATTTTAACTAAGTATTGTGTTATCATGGTATCTCTCCAGTTTAAATCTCGTTCCCCTCTTTATCTAAAAACCGATTCTGAAAACCCTAAACTGAACAAATCGACACCAGCGACCCTTTGTGGGGTTGCCCTTCATCGTCTTCTTCATAGAGCGGTACCATGCCCAAGCGTGATTTCTGCGTTTTTTTTCTTCAATAAGAACCGATTTCTGCAAAGGGCATTTCCGGGACATTTCGATCGATCGCAAGGGGGGCTGAGAAAGCGACTTCGGTCCTCGTCTTAGCATCATCAGGTCAAAATAACATCGATTAAAGGAGGTCATGTGGTGGTGAAAACTGAGCAACGATTGGGGAAACCGAAGGTAGCTTATGCCACCGGCGATCGTCGCAACTAGGGGCTTCTTCGTCAGCTTCCTAGTTGATTTCGTCTTTTATCTTTTCTCTTTTCCTTTTTTTTGTTCCAACAATCTCTAGTTGTTCTTGTTTGGGTTGATTTGAAAGAAACGGAGGTAGGAAGGGATGGTTGGAAGGTGGTTCGGTGGAGGCAGGGAAGAAGAACCGAAATCAGATGGGTGTTTGGATTGAGGCTGTGAAATCAATGGGCAAGCAGAAGAAGAAACAAAGGGTTGTTGTTGGCTGGATAATCACATGTTTCTATAATCTTCTTTCTTATTTTGATTGATTTACTGTAAATCAATGAAGTTTAATCGATAGGTTTAGATGAGTTTTTGGGTTTGATTGGTTGAACACAAATCATGGTTGTTTTGGTTGCTTATTTGACAGATGAATGCTTCAACCGAATTGAAAGTTGTTTTCATGCACACCAAGCGCTCGCTAAAATGCTTCAACTGAATACTGGGGACTATTTCACCCCTCTACTACTACCACATAACATATAACACATAATCATATTTTTATCTAGCATGACTGGGTATGACTACCCCCTTCGGCCCTATCGACCGGAAATCTTGGGGACTATCTCCCCTACTGCTACTTGCATATTACATCATATCATACTAGCACATAACACATCAGGTAGTAGCAAACCTAGATGAATATCACAAAGACAATCATCTAACATACAACTCCTACTAGTGGGCCGGCATTGTGGTCGTAGACCCACCGCTACTGGAAGGTAACTCACCTCGAACGAGTAGCTGCTAATAATCTGCGCGGGAAATCTCTTTCTGCTGCTGCTCCGGAAATCCTCCGGCTATAATCCCCACAAAACACTTAATCAGAGTCTGATATCTATTCCTAGGGTAAAATGACCATTTTACCCCTGACCAAGTCCAAGACAAGGTCAAAGTCAACTTCCAGTTGACCCGACTCGCCGAGTTGGGCCGCCAACTCGTCGAGTCCCTATCCTTTCATCTGTCCTTCTTCACACCTCTACTCGTCGAGTTTGGCAACGACTCGACGAGTTCTCCTTCTAGAACAACCCCGGATGAACCTTCATCCGACTCGCCGAGTTGTATGAACAACTCGTCAAGTTCATCTCCTTCCTATAAACAAGTCCTGTCCTCGACTCGCCGAGTTGTATGAACAACTCGTCGAGTTCATCCTCAAGAGTTGGGAGATTGCCTTGGACTCGCCGAGTATGTTCATGTACTCGCCGAGTCCTATGAACTCCAGGACTATGGCTTATCCCAATACGTTGGGTCACTCCTCCGGACCCTCTAAAACCTTTCCAGCACTCCACTGGGTCTCCTTGACCCATAACAGAAAAGGGGAGTCTAACCTCGGACTCGCCGAGTCCCAAGAACGACTCGCCGAGTTGATACAGTCCAAGTCTTATTTCTTCGATTTCTGGTGTACAACTCTTGTCCGAATGATAGATCAAGGTCCCTAAACTCGATCTAGCACGTAAAGTTACGAACTTTACGTGCATTCATGGGACTTTGAGTCTAAAAGGCTCTAAAAGAGACTCTTGGGTTGCATGGGGGCTTCCATGGGTGCAAAAGCAGCCCCTTTCTGCCTTGTAACTCCTCTATGGTCCTAGATCCGAAGCCTCAACCCCCAACCATGCTTGAAATCATGGTTTTTTTTACCAAGAATGGCTTATAAAAGCCCTAAATCTCCCCAAAAAGGGATCTAGCAAAAGAACAAGCAAGGTATCGACTTTATACCTTCTGTGAACTGCAAATGGTGCACAAACTTGAACTCCCTTGGTCTCCTCTTGATTACTCTAGGCTTTTCCTTCTCCTTTGAGTTCAAAATCACTAAAAAGCACCACAAATGCCTTAGCTCTTTATACAAACGGCTAGGGTTTGCTATGGGGGTTTTCTGGAAGCAATAGGGACGAAGGGTGGCTGAATGAGATGCTTAAATAGGGTGCAAACCCTTAGATTAGGGTTTTGTCCAGTCAGAGTCTACTCGTCGAGTCTGGAAGCCGACTCGACGAGTCCGTCATTTAAATCCCGGGTCAAATCCGCTTCTACTCGACGAGTTGGTCCTTCAACTCGCCGAGTCCCAGGCCAAAAATGCAAAATACTTAAATAAAATACTTACCAGGAACCAGGTGCTACAAATCTCCCCCACTTATTTTAGACTTCGTCCTCGAAGTCTGCTGCTCGTTCCTGGAAAAGCTTTGGGTAATGCTCCATCATCTCATCCACCGGCTCCCAAGTCCATTCCGAGCCCTTCCGGTGTTGCCATTGCACCTTCACCAGCTCGACCCTCTTGTTCCTCAGATCCTTCGACTTCCGGTCGAGGATCGCTACAGGCCGCTCGATGTAATTCAGGCTGTCATCGACCTGAATATCCTCTAAAGGCACCACTGCCGAATCGTCCACCAAACATTTCCGTAACTGGGAGACGTGAAAAGTGCTATGAATCTGACTGAGTTCGGCTGGCAGGTCCAGCCTATACGCCACTTTGCGCACCCGGGCTATAACCCTAAAGGGTCCAATATACCTGGGACCCAACTTGCCCCGCTTCCTGAATCAGATGACGCCCTTCCATGGCGACACCTTCAGGAGAACCATATCCCCGACCTGAAACTCCAGGTCTGATCGACGCTTGTCGACATAACTTTTCTTCCGACTCTGAGCAGTCTGAAGCCTGCTCCGCACCTGCTGAATCCTTTTGGTCGTCTTGAGCACCACTTCGGTGCTCCCCATGACCCTCTGGCCAACCTCACCCCAACATATCGGGGTCCTGCACTTCCTCCCGTATAGCATCTCGAAGGGAGGACGGTCAATACTCGCGTGGTAGCTGTTGTTGTACGAGAACTCAGCCAATGGGAGGTAAGTATCCCAACTACCACCGAAATCTAACACACACGCCCGCAACATATCCTCCAGAGTTTGGATGGTCCGCTCGCTCTGACCATCTGTCTGCGGGTGAAATGCAGTGCTAAAGTGCAGACGAGTACCCAGCTCGTCATGAAACTTCTTCCAAAACCTGGACGTGAACCACCCATCCCTGTCTGAAATCACCGAAACTGGCACTCCGTGCCTCGCCACCACCTCCCTGATGTAGATATCGGCCAACCTTTCGGCCGAAATACTCTCCTGAATCGGGATGAA